TACAAATAAACCAGACCAATATTCTGGACTGATGACCATACACTCCAATGTGGATAGGGATTTTTTTTTTGTTCTTCTAAAATTGGACCACATCTCAATATTTGTTCTAGTCATTCTTCTTTTCTACTACAAATTACATAGTATTTTGATCACATTTGCCCATTTGCATACATTAAACTTGTGTGTTGAAACAGCACCACTTGAACAACAAGACTACAACAAACAGTATTTGCGGAATGTTACATTTCTCACTGCTGATCCAAAGCAAAGGTATTTTATTTGAAAGAAGACTGCCTGGAAATACAATCTAAAAAATTTGCTCTCCACAAGACAAATGCCAACATGAACTATGACAAAATTGTCAGATGACTAGATGAATACCATTATTCCTTTAGAACCCCCAAAACAAGTGTAATAACTGTATAAACAAGAAAGAAACATGTATGAAGTATCAGATTTCCATAATTTAAAACAAAGAGCAATGAATGGCAAATAGTATTTTAAAATATTTTTATAGAAACAATAGAAAATACAAAAAAGTGACAAGTATTTTATCTAACATCAGTTAAGTAAAGAAAAGATCCTCACATATATTTGGAATGGTACAATCTTCTTATACTGATATTGTGTATAAAAGGCAATGAAATTTGCAGGTAACATTATCTACCTGCTTTTAATTTCTTAATCAACAAGGGAAGCAATTTACTATACTGGAATCATGTTAAAAAAAAACATGGGCTGAAGATGACTGTCCTGTAGGTTGTAGCACTGTGTAGTGTGGTAGAAGTTTGCGTCTGAAATACTGGTAAACTTCTACCACATTACACAATGCTACAACCGAAAAGACAGCCATCTTCATGCTCTCTCTCATGAGAACCTCAAATCGTACCTAAAATTGGCTGTACGCATATCTCACAATGGCCATGCTTCCTATCTCTCATACCTTTTCTTTATTGATTTAGAATTTAAACTATTGTAAAGATTTACTGAACACAAAAGACAATACCTAACCTACAACAAATATCTATATGCATTATAAATACTGTACAAACATTAATTATCAGTATCTGCTAATATCAGTAACAAGACTATTGCACAAATGCATATGGAGAGTTGTTTTAATATGATTCTAAATGCATTCACAACTGTGGCCAGGTTTTGATATGGAGTTTGGATGTGCCAACTAAATTATTCTGAATGATGTGCATTTTGAAGTGCACGCAACATATCCACAACTGTTCTAATACAAAACCAGAAAACTACAGAATCTACAGAAATCTGCATATTCAGAATTGGAAATAAAACTGCATATAGCATGTCTTCTTGACTGTGTTGATATCACATGGGATTAAAGTATCATTACTGTACACATCAATCACATGAAAGAATCACAGACAATCGTGGGGACCAACAAATTGCCGACTGTAAGTGTATAAAATATATTTTTTAAATTCCCTTTATTTTATTTACGTTATTTCAGAGCTTTAAATGTAATGCCATTATATTACTCGTCAATTTTTGGGTGCTGGGAACGCACGTCATTGACTTCCCATTGATTTACATTATTAAAGAAAGAGGTTCAATTTACGCTGATTTCGATTACGCCGGTTCATCCAGGAACACATCCCCGGCGTAAATCGAGGGCTACCTGTAGTTACAATGTGGAATTCTTTTTTCGTAACTTTAATTAAAACTGTGATCACATATAGAGTAAATAACAGTAAACAGTAAAGCAGCACATGATTATTACTGTCTTGTTTTTCTTTTTAATTTCCTTGTCAACTTTGCTATAGTTGATCATTTATTGGATTGGCCACTGTATTCAGCAATCAGTCTCCCCTTTGTGTGGCAGACCCTAAAATTGCATACCACATATCCTAAATGAAAGTGTGTTAGGAAGGTTAACTTAGGCTAAAAAACAACTACAACACTCAAAACATTCTTTTTATTTCATCTGTAAGACTCAAAAATTAATTCCAGAACTCAAAAACCTTTAAGAACAAGAAATATAATTACTGCAATCTTAATCTGCAATGGAATGTGCCTATATGTTAAAAGAATTGTATTTTTATAGCATGATTCGTTCAGACATTTAAAAGAATGACTTGTAAGACTCAGCATTCAGTATGATGACCAATTTACTGACTATTCACTCAACTAATCCATTTTCATATGACACCAACTACTGTTTAAACAATCAGATAAGATTACAAAGGAGATTAATAATAAAAACGTTTCCTTTAGTTTATGGAAGATGTTTCTTTCAAGTGATCAATTTTCAATTGTCAGAAACTATAAGAACCAGCAAAATAACTGCTAGAATTATATCAAGATGTCAGAAAGTTTTCTAGCAACCGATGAAACCATTTTGTATATATTAACTATATTTTCTTACATGGAATAAAAGAAGAGTTAAAATCGCAATAACACTGTTTTCATATGAAAAATACTGATAATACTGTATTTGACTCTACACCAAAAAACTGCCTAGTGTGTGCATATGAACAACTGTCCACACCCCATTTCACATGGCCACTGCTGTCAAAGCATAACACCCCTGTACACTCTCATTCTTGAACCACATGCAATTAACCAGAGGCCCACGGCATTAGATTCCTGACAGGAAATAAAAAGGAAAAACAAAACATAAAAGGCATTGTGTGAACTAAATTACAATACAATTAAAATTAAGCTTACTGCCACATACACACTATAAAACACCTTTTTAATTTGATGTAGCATGCCACTTGTTTGCTGCTTGTCCAGTCAGTCTGCCTTGCCAGTAATTATTAATTGTACCAAACCGGTGGGATCACGGTAATATGAACATAAGAACTTTAGAAACAAGTTTCAAATGCAGAATGTTAATAAAACATTGCCAAAAATGTGATTTTTACATCTGAATTGTAGAAAGTTATACATTCTTAACAGTATATGCATAAATAGTTGCTACAGATTCCTGTTCTCATGAAGCTTTGGTAAAATCCAATCAGAAGAACAATACGCAACAGGGTGGAAGTGTGGGGTGGCCAACTGTATTAGTGTGCTTCTTGGCTGGTTTCAGCCGGATCAAACAGTACGGAGCCAAGCTAACAGGAGTTGCCAAATACATCTTATAGCTGAGTGAGGTGGTTCAGGACAGATTACCAACAGCTAAATTGTAAAATATGTTAGCATTGAACTCTTTGTGATACAAATGTCTCATATTGCTGTGAAGTTGCAACTGGTGGCTTTGGCTAAAGGCTGTCCCCATCCTGCATTGTGATTGGCTCTTGTTATGTCCCAGTGAAGCTTCATAAGAAAAGTAATGAACTTTTACAAACTTTAATTAGATCAGACATTTTAAAGACAAAAACCATACGATCATAACCCATGAGTTTGGAGAATTCTGAAATACACTGACAATACGCCCTCCTTATCAGGAACTGCCATACACAATCACCAACTGAACACAACATTATAGAGTGTTTCAGCACCATTAAGCATTCACTTGGTCCTGTCATATTCACAATTACACCTCATGAAACACACTGAACACTATTTCTCTTCTTGTACCATATATACTTATGGTTCCAGCCATTGTAAAACCTTTCTAAATGTATATCTGTATTGAGAAAAATATCACTTTTCTTTGTATGTAACTTCTCTTCCACAATCACCTTCATATTGCCCAATAAAAACATGACAATTGACCGTCTTTATGACAAAGCCAGTGATGATCACTAGATACCACTGGTTCCCTGTGTCTTATAAACTGTGTAACACACTGGTCTCACTTTGTCTAAAATATTTCTCCTGCTAGCTAAAGACTAGAGATTCTCTCCTAAATCTTTACTTCTTAGGCCATTAATTTTGGTAATATAATTATTATAACATACAGCTTTTAATTTACATTGATTTATCAGTTACAGGGAGCTCCTAAGATCAAAATTTATATAGTTTCAAAAAGTACTTGTAGCTTTCAGAGATAATAAAAAAATTATGAAGTCTGCCTGGATACACACAACTCCACATTCTCTTGAACTGGTTCCCTCTTTCACTTATACAGGTTGAATTTTCAAAGCCAGTCTTGTACAACTTTTTAATGTATCTTGTGCTGGTCCTCTTTCAAGCAATTGCTATGGAAATATAGTGCTAGTGCAATGCATGTTGTGCTTTAACCAACTAACAAATAGTTGCTGGTTTCATAGCAGTCTTTGTATAAATATTATAATGCAGTAGTCATGTTCAGAAATGAAGGAATGGAATAAGGCATAGGATGATTTGTGGGGAGGCACACCATTTCATGGCACTTACAACCCAAGAAAACTAGTTCAAACACCAGCAAGAGTACAAAATAATGACAAATGTTTACATGTAAGAGGATATAATAGTTCTTGTGCATAACTCCCAGAGACAGATACGGCCTTGTCTCAACATTTACATAGGATACATCTGTAACTTCCACATGAGAAAAAATGTTTCTTGGACACAAACCCAATTCCAAAACTCGTTTCCTGTGAATTTTCAAAGACTGACAATCATCAAATGCCACAACTATTATTACAATTCATATTATATTGCAAGCTTTATCTGCAAGAGAAATATTTCATCCAAAGGGAACATGAGAGATGGCACCATTGACGATAGCTAACAGGGATACAAGTACATTTCCAACACTTGCCACTTCTGCCCTTAGCTACATTTGTATTGCCCTATGCAGATCTATCAATTATTTTTATACACACATTCCCAACAACCAATGAACTGTATTACAAGGAGCTGTTCTCGTAGCATCTTCATGCAGCTCCATTCACACTGTGAGAACTGGTGACATTGCACCACTAGTTAGGGAAAGTTTAACAAGGGAAGGTACGATTTGATAATCTAATTGCAGCCTAAAGATACTCCCTATCTTAGTGGGTGGCACTTAGGCAAGAATGCTGTGGCAATGCCAGGCTCACAGCTATTAAGAAGAGATACAAGGATAACACTTTGGTAGTCCCTGCTCTGGACGTGTTCCCGTCGTAATAAGTACCTGTATTGCTGTGATCTATGGGGCAAAGATAAATGGGACAAAAACAATTAAAAATAAATAAGTTGGATAAGAGGTTTGGAAAGGAGGGGAGGGAAAAAAGATGTCAAAAATTACATATATAAACAATGCATACATATAATAGAAACAAACATACCTATACTTTTAATATTAATTTGCATATTAAAATATTGAAGAACTTTGTGAATGTACATCAATTATGGATGCCAAATATGATGAAGAATGCAAAGGTATAATATCTGTAAAATAATTACTTCAGTTTTAATAAGTATAAGTCTTCACAGGAAATTAGCCACATAAGGTGGCCACAACTGACATTTTGAGAGCTGTCTCAGTCCTCATCACCGTGGATCTGAAGTGCCTACAAAGCCCAGAATGCCTATGAAGACTTCACTGAATTAAGTCACCATAAAAATTATAGACCATATGTAACATTTCAGGTCAACATGGCTGTCACATAGTAATTGTTATCATGTATGAGTATCTATTACCTACAATTTCATTCCTTACTTAAATGTAAATTTCCAAAGGGCAATGTCATACACATATTAAAAAAATCTAAAGAACAAAAATTGTTGTAGTTCTGTCAGACAGTTTCACTAACTTATTACCTGTGTCCTGTGTTAGAAATGGAGAAATATTTTATACCAGAAGCTGCAAATGGCTTCACCAAATGTAATGTTGAGACCAAAAGAATTATTTTCAAGTGTATGGAAACAACAAAGAGCTATTGAAACCATTATGAAAGAAACCTCAATTTAAATTAAATAATTCAACTACCTGCATCTTACAAAAAAATGGTATCCTCAAAATTTGAAGTCCCACATTAGTTCTTGTGCATACACATGTAATGGAAAATCTTATATGGTTCTACTGAATCCATAATGTATGACTGAAATCACTGTCCCATCCACCTGTATTCACCAGCCCATCATGTACAATGCTCTGAAGCAAATTGTTTTCTGGACATTATGCATCATCACAAACTTTCAGACTTCATCTACAATGCTCTGCTTAAATTTTCAAAGTGTACTTACCCCTGGCAGTCTTGATGATAACCTCCCCGGGCAAACTGAAACCAATTTTATTGTGTGCTCGAAGCTCTATCTTGTAGTATGCATCAGGAACGAGATTCTTCAGCACATACATTGTGTTCTCTGTAGATGAGATGTCCTTTGAATCACATGGATAACCCATCTCTGTCCACATTCCATCTACCCGTTTGACCTGTTTTCAATGAGTCATTATTATTACATAGTCCCTTTCATCTGATACAAATATGCAATTAGAAAATTATTATAAATATGTCTGTATGAGCATCCACTAATGTCTGAAATGAGAAGAAGGTGCACTCCAATCTTTTAAATGTGTACTTTATGAATTTGAATTTTCCTGATGTTCATTTGTTGCAGAGACATCCACTGTTGACAATGCTAATAAACATAAATATATCATACTTCATTAAATAGTAGCTGTAACATTTTTTAAGTATAAATTACAGGATTTATTCACAAAATAAACGTTTTATAAATGAACTACTTTCAACAAATATAACAAAGTTCAATTTGAGCTTCATATAACTGTAAGATAAGAACTACATGGGGCTGATATGGATAGTTGTATCCAAAGTATGTAATATTTTCATGTGCCTGCAAAGATTTATAAGTAGATACATATTTATAACCATAAATATTTAGTTTTGACCCCCCTTTGATAAAGTAAGGCATGCTGCAGGTGAAAAAAACGTTGTGGAACATTGTACTAGTACAAGTAATCAATAACTGTTACAAACGTTTATATTCATAACATACTACATGACTCAGCTTACTGATTACAAATACAACCATAATGAAGATTAGGTTTATTTCATTTAATTCCTAAGTAGAAAATCCAAATAATATGTAACTTAAATTTAGATTTACTGAATAGCCAAATACAGCATCATATGATAGGCAGTCAAAATCAAAGCAAATGTAAGAATACAGGCATACTAGCTGGAGCAAAATGGCATAAATATTCAAAATGCACACACACCCCATTCAACCAAGTACACTCATAAAAGTGTTACATAATGAATTTGACTTCACCTACTCGACAGAACTTGATGGTATATTGATCAATGGGTTCACCATTGTGAGCAGGAATTTTCCACGTAAGCTCATAGCGACTTGAGTATGGTGACATGACAACACCCTCTTCTTTAGTGTTTGTCAGAATACGAGGCTCTTCTGGGGAGGATCTCTTAGGCATGGTGAGATGTTCTTGGGCCGCCCAATCCCCAAACCCAACATCATTCTGAGCAGCAAACTTGAAGTTGTATGTTGTCTGTGGCTCCAACCCTTCCAGGATGTAAGGAGAATCTGCACAAAAACCATCAAATCTGTTGGTAGCCTTTCCTTTCAGCATATTTAAGAGAAGTTATATTTATGGTATCATTATGTCCACATCTAAAGTTTGCAGTAAAAGTCAGTTTTTTTATAATTCTTATCATTCAGAGGAAAAAATCATGAAATGAAGACTCATTACATGAAAACATACAAAAACTTATCTAGATTCAGATGAAAGGATAATATTAAAACAAATTTAGGAAAACATGGTTTGGGGGATGTGGACTGGATTCATCTGGCTCACAACAAGAATCAGTGGCAAGCTCTAGCAATAAACCTTTGGGATCTATGAAAGGCGGGGAGTTTTATTTAACTAGCTGAGCATACTACTAGCTTTCCAAGAAGAATCGTGCTCCATTGTTTGTTAATTAAAGGCAAAAACTGCCCCAGAATCACAAATGAAGCTCATTTCACATAACCATTTATGCCACAATAATTTTAATTAAAGATGTTTATATTCTATAGTACTGAAACAGCATGCCTATATTACTGATAATTTATGCTTGTTTAATAATTGCAGAAACCCATATTTCAAATTGACACTTAACTGAGAGTGATTGGTCATAAGTGTGATTAAGGAGCAGATCTAAAGGGAAAAAGAAAAAATTAGATTTACTTTAATTGTCAGTCAAGAAACCATGTTGCAATTTACATAAAACAAATCAATTTGTAGAATAAGTAACGAGGGTACATCCTTTATTAGCTTCTACATATCTGGTCACTGTAGAAATCTACAAACAATATGATTCTCTGTAGACAAGTTGCTTCATTATACCCACCACTAAAACATGGTTGGTGACCATAAAAATTCATAATGAAATTTATCAGACTTTACTGAGCAAAGTATCCATACCAATTGGCCATGTTTTGTTTTTTGCATCTCTCCAATCCTGTCTGGCTTCCTTGTACAGAACACCATAGTTTCGTGTGGGAAGACTACCATTGTCAGCTGGTCCAATGAAAGAGAAAGTTATTGTGGTTGCTGAAACATACCAAAGTTGGCAATACAAAGAATCATTGATGATATCATAAGTGAACACACTCTTATACTGTCAAGCCTAGTGCACAACAGTTTTATACAAAAGTTAATGACACTTATAACAGAAACCTCTGTAAGAAAACTAAGCAAAGAATTCTTTAAAATCTAATATTTTGCTGGTTGTGTAATCTCTTGGTGTGCATGAAAATCAGCTTATAAAAATCTTCTTACAGAACACAGCTAAAACTCAGACAGGAAAACATTAATTGTAAATTTAAAGCTGGAAACTCTTATTTCTCAAGTTGAAATTATTTTAAAACTTTTCCTCAGTTTGGCTACAACAACATTTAATATGTTAAATATATCAAGACAATTTTACTTCTGAAAAACTGCCACAAAGAATTAATACACTCCATTTACCAGTGATCACATCTAGCTTGGCCTGCAAGATCTCTGAGGGACGTTTAGCCTCCTTCAAAACAATCACATGTTCAGCTGACCCATGCTGATTTACTGCCTTACAGGTGTAGCGACCATAGTATTTCCTGTCAAGTGGTGTTATCTGAAATATTATTAAATTACTTGATTATGGTCAGGCATTAACCAGCTTTTATATACTATGCATTATTTACAATACCAAAGGGACCTGGTCAAATAAAACCAATTCAGCTCAAGGTTTGCAGTTTAGCAGTAGACCCCCATCTGACTTCCCAGACAAAACAAAGCTCCACATAAAGAGTTAAAAAGGTCTGTTCTTTAAGATTTGTCCCGATTATCCATTGGCCCCATTAACCGGAATCTACTGTAATCATAAGCCAGATGAGCCTCATTCACATTCTCAAACCGTTTCTTTACAAACATTATTTAAAAACTATTTCACTCACCTGCAGTGAACTCCATGGTCCTTCACCAAATTTCCGAACATTCATATCAACAAACTTCTCATTAATTTCAATATTGTTAAGACGCCATGTAATAGTTGCATTAGGTATTGATTCTGCCAAACACGTGACGTTCACAGGGTTGTTGTGCCAACTCCATGCTTCATGCATTGGTGTACTTGCAAAAGAAGGCTTAAATTCCACTGTCAGATGACCATTCTTGAATGCCACACCTCCCTGAGAAGGATCAGATAATAAGGTGAATAATTAAAGGTGTCCGACAATGATATATTATAATAAATAACACTCTTCTTTTGTCCACCATCTAAACTATGAAATCATGTGAGCACTATAATGCTTTGGAAGCTGTATTTTTGCTTGTCTTCACATAAAAAGGGGAAAGAGGACAGAAAGCCTATCTGTTGGAGCCCTGGTTGAGCTAGTCCAAGAACTGAACTCAGTGCACCTTTTGAAATACTGCAGTAGTCTCATAATTGTATAATTAAGATAACAGACAAATGTCCAACAAGAACAGCTTTACATAAGGTAATATGTTTTCTAATTGACATAAATGGAATCTGAAACAAATTTCACTACAATCTGTCCTAATAACTCAAAACCTCTCATATATTTATAATCATAGAAGAATATCCTGCCAAGAAAATAAATTTTCTATGTGTCTTTCACAACTACTTATCTGCGACTCCCAAATTTGGGGGTTCTGCAAAGAGCCAATCCATGTATGCAGACAAAAGCAGTCAAGGTCAATTGTGAATTGAGTATTATATGTTTTCTGCATTCTTAAACTAGTTATAAAAATATGTATATAAGTGAGCATAATAAATAATAGACAATTATAACCTAACAACTTGCCTCATTTATTGCAATGCATTCATACAGGCCATCATCAGTACGAAGAATGTTTGAAATTATAAGGGAACCAACTGTTTCTCCTCTCTCAATATCTAAAGTATTCTCCACAACAATGCGATCATCTTTCTGAACTCCAAGCACAAATCTGTCAGATGACGTCAACTTTCTGAAAGTAAGAAACAGGATACTTGATGCCACTTACAGTGTAATACACAAAATGAGTAAGAACAACTTACCAGAGCATTAATTAAAAACATTTTATTCAGTATATGGTACATCACCTATCACCTGAAATACTTTTACCAATTTGCATCTACACATTTGCGTCTTGCACATCAACTGTACAACTCCGTAACAACATTATAATTACTATCATAATCATCAATATTAATTCTTTACATGAAGTGCATGGAATAAATGCCTACAAAGCTGATCATGTGTGTCTGTTTGTCTGTCTGTCCACACAATTCAACTTCAGAACTACTGGACAGATTAGGATGAGATTTGGTATAGGTGTCATGCCACTGGGAATGGCCCCAAAATTGTGCTTTTGAATGTTCTACTATTGGTAATACCAACACTACGGAAGAACATACTTGTGAGGAGGAGTAAATACTAATGCCACTTGCAGTAAGGCCATACATTGGTGTATGGTGAAAACATATTTGGAAAATACAAACTATGGAAAATTATTCTTTGTAATATGTAAAATAAAACCATGAAAGCTGCACGGAAGAAAACAGAATTCAATCCTGTGACTCTGTGCATAGAAGTCTGAGCTAATGTGCCTTATGATGTATACTTACGACTTGAAGTATATTTTAAAACTAAACTTACCCTCGATAACTGGTATAATCTCTTTCTAATAATCCCAAATTTGCAAAGAATGCATGCATGTATTCTGGTATGGAACATACCTTTATAGTCTTGTTAACTTTTATCATCCTTACCTAAAGGTAACAGTGGGCATAGGTCTGCCTGAGGCACTACAGGAAAGTCTTGCCTGTTTGTTAGTCGGGATGGAGATATTCTTATATGCGACAATACGAGGCTTCAGAGTAACATTTATCTTCAAAGCGTGCTCAATTTTTCCTGCAGCATTTGTAGCAACACACTTATACCCTCCGTCATCATCCTTGGAAACATCCCTGATTGTGAGCACGCCTGTGAGTCTATCCACAGAGAAACGATCAGCAGTTGTTAAATCTTGCTGGGTAGATGATTTGATCCACATAAATGTTGGTGGAGGTTTCCCATGTGCTCTACACGTCACTGACGCAGTTTCAGATTCTACCATTGTCACTGATGATTCCATTTTTTCAAATTTTGGTGGTATGTGGACCTATAAGAAACAGAAAATAATTGCTACATGAGAATTTCAAATCACAAACCTGGCTTCAATCAATACTGTTGACACACAACCTTGACAGTGGGTAGAAGTGGAAGTGAAAAATTCAGGAATACTGCATAGTACAAAAAACCTAGGGACAGCCACAAATAACTTGGTATAATAATAAATATGTTTATATGCAGATGATTTTCATCATTATAAAGTGTTTTGAAGAAGAAAAAAATCATCTGCATTATTTCAAATATCACAGAACTGAACTGAAATAATATGCATTTTCCCGTTCCAAATTTAGAAAAGACAATCACAAGGCAAGTTGTTAATAAATTATTGCTGTTACAGAATCGACAATCAAAGTGTTTTATAAAATTCATAAATGTCGTCACAAAAGTAAATGGATGGATCCTACTATCAGATAGTTCACTCTCTCACAAAATCTCAATGATGGATTTTAAAATTACTCCTTTATCTGCACATTACTAAGTAATTTTCTTTCCCATTGGTCTCTCTCAAATATGATCCATTACCAAAACGTTTTCCTTTTATAAATGAAACTGTAGATAGGTGCAAATAGCCTTAAAACTGGCCCACAAACAAACATTCTAGAACAAACAAACAAATATTTTAGACCAAAGTGTAGAAAGAATCCTTCCTATACATAAATTTCATTTTTGGTTTAACAACACTCATTAATTAATGGCAAAAAAGAAATCATTTCAGACATGCTTCACATGAGTTATACTTACCTCAACACGAATATTTCTCTCTGAAAGTTCACCAGTGTCGATTACAATAGCACGACATGTGTACATGCCATCATCAGCTTCAGTTACATTCTGAATGAGTAAACCATCTGTTTCAATAATGTAACGGCCGCCAACCTTTATTGGGTCACCATTTTGCAGCCAGTCTACCAGAGGAGCTGGTTTTGCTGTCACCTTACACCGTACCTTGTAATCTGACATGAGAATAGGGTACTGCTCTTCTGGGGCATCTTCCCATGTTATGGCAACTGTATCACAAGAAGGTTCATAATTTTAAAACACTCACTGCTAAATGATATTTTTTATATTATTTTCCCAGTTAATTTGATTCATAAAATTATATTAATAAGAAGAAAACATAACTGAAATTCAACAAGGAAAGATTTGTATAAAGAAAAGCTTTCGTGGCGACTGCAGTTGATGAAAGGCTATCGAGTTACAAGCGGTGTCAAGAGGCTGAGTGGTGAATAAACCATATATTCTGCCAACGTTTCGAGAACAATCTCTGCTCTCATCCTCAGGGCTGTTGCGTAACAAATCTGATCCTTTGTAGCACGCTCGCTGATGGCCCCAGAAGATATGGTTTATTCACCACTCATCCACCTGATGCGGCTTGTAACTCGAGAGTCTTTTATCGAAGGAAAGATCTTTCATACCTATATCTTTCCCTTCTCCCATATTGCTTAACCATCCCTTTCAATGAAACAAAATAAACATGGACTTACCAAATGTTTTGATATTCACAGTCTTAGACAGCTCCTCTGTGTTAGTGTACTTTGCAGTGCAAGTATAGTTTCCTGCATGCCTCTCCTGTAGCATAGGAAATATGAGGAACAAGCCATCAGGCATACGCTCTATGTGCATTCCTGTTTCTAGACTGTAACTGGAAAACAAACAGAAATAACCAACTGTCCTATAAGGACATTTTCAACAACAAAATAAATAAAAAGCATATTTTTAACAACTCCACAATGCTGTATCATACGAATCTAATTTAATTCCTCCTGCCATCACCGAATACCACAACAATGGTCGTGTCCAACTCAGTCTATCCTCCCCCTGCTGTGTTGTACCTTTTTAAGAAATATGAAGGTTCATTCAGGGCGATGAATATGCCAACTGGATGAGGGGAGCTCCCCTCCATCCAATTGGCACATTCATCGCCCTGATGACGGAGGCAGTATGAACTCTGAAACGTTGGTAAACATCGACAAGACTACACAACGCACCAACCCAGAAAACAGAAATCTTCATACTCTGATGACGGAGGCAGTATGACCTCTGAAACGTTGGTAAACATCGACCAGACTACACAGCGCAACAACCCAGAAGACAGAAATCTTCATACTCTGATGATGGAGGCAGTATGACCTCTGAAACGTTGGTAAACATCGACCAGACTACACAGCGCAACAACCCAGAAGACAGAAATCTTTAAACCATGTTAGACTAAATATCATTTAATATTTTAAAATTCAGCAATGCACAAACCTGTCAGTGTTATCCCCAATGACCCTACCAGTGGGGTCATACCACTGTAGATTGGTGACCAATATCTTATTCTCAACATCAACTCGACAGGAGAGCAACATGCTCTGACTGATGGGCCGGTTCAGTGTCGGCTGTGATGGCAGGATCCTGAGTTCAGGTGTCCCCAGTACCATTTCTGGAAACAACGCAAACTAAATTACCAACTGGTTCAACTGGTTTCAGGTTAAACCTGTATATGTTTATTGCACCTCCATGTTTAATCAATCGTGTTTCATATCAAATTTTCTATACGTACAGTTTAAATTTCAGTAATTCCACACAGATGTAGGGTGAACAATGCTCCCAGTAACGCCTCACATGCTTTTACTAGCGTCGCCAACTTCTGACTGGTCGATGTTTTCTCACAAAATCGCCTTGTACCTTCTGTTTACTTAGTACAGGCGACGTGTGTATATTCTAGCCAGTATCACCATGCATGCATCATAAGCAAAATTTCAATAAATTTGCCGAAGTGGAATAAATCAGTATCCGGATCAGTCAAAACTCACTACCCTCCATAAAAAATCATATTCCTGTTGCATGCATATTGCTGAATAACACAAAATTCAGACAGAAGTACACATATTTATAGTGGGAAAACAATTTATAACATTCTTGCAACCGTCTTAAAAACATAATGTATCTATGTAAAGCATTCACTTCATTGACAGCAAAGTTCTAACCATTTTTATAACTTTCTTAATTGCAGTGCCATTAGTCTGGAAATAATCTAATGAAATGCAGTTTTATGGAAATTGGGACCAACATTCAGATTAGACAGCGGTAACAATAAATGCAAAGTGATGGAAAGATTAATATTCATGAAAATTTTTACAGCCAAAATATTGCATATTTATCAGGTTCAGAGTCTCGCAAAATTTTCAAGAACATAAATTACAGATATGCAAGGACAGAAAATATATACCAATTGTCTATTGAATTTAAATTCTAATAGTCTTCTACTCACACTACGCTCCTATGAAACACAATTCAAAAGGAAACTAATTTTGTTCAGTTCTTTTGTTTGCTGGCTTCTGCTCTCATCCATTTATTCAAGTTGCAAAAGTTTTAATGGGGGTGTATGATGTATTTCCAACATCTGGATTGAGAGCACAGACAGAGTTTAGTGGGCACATCACAGAAAAATAAGGTCTGAGTTTTAGCGAGATCACATCATGGCGTAATAGACATTTAGCCTTCTTGGGTCAGATAATATAAGTCGGTAAACCTCAAAATAAAAAACCACTTAGTACACACAGGAATAGGACGGAAGGTAAAATTAAAATAAGTCGCGGGGTGCGGATTTGATTCAGCTGACGTGAAATTTTATGGTGATATGAGCGACCGGAACGCTATAATGGCGTGTATAATTACGTAACACAATTCTGCCGATAAGTTGAGTCAGTGTTTGGATGTAAACTAAATAATCACAAGAAAGTCAAGTCTGCTTATTTTCCTTACTAGTACCGAAATCTCCCATAACAGCAAAAGTAATCAACCTTCCTTCTGGATGCAGATGGTAAATACGTATGTGGAAGGCGAAACGGGGAGGAAATTTGTAGGAAGAAGCAGGCAGAATTCTGTGCCCCAAATATTTCGACGAAAGCTCAGAACTCACTCATCCTAGCATCCCCTGGGTAATTATCGAACTGCTGAGACCAATTTCGTCGTATACACCACTGAATGCCAGTCGGCCACGCATCCATGAAATTGAATTGAGCCCACCGCTGTTTACAACCAAAGTTAGGTTAGCATAAATAAATTCAAACCTAGAAAGTAACAAGAATATTAGCTCTTAAGGGAGAAAAACAAAACAAAGTTTGCGTTGTAATCAATGAACAAACATTTATCTACGTCATTCTACGAAATTCTACAACACTTAATATTAAAACGCTCCAGAGTGCGTCGGTCAGTTCATCGACTGTCTTAAACATCTAAAGACAAAGCTTGTTTAAGAAAACATTTAAGGAAGCCCGGGTTCGCTTCCAGGGCAGTCCGTATGAGATTTGTGGACGATGTGGCATGGTATGTGCGCGGATAATAACACGATTTATGTAAGCATATTTAATCGCTAAATAATCCTGGAATAATATTAAACAATAAGTCCTTTTGTGTCTATGAATTTAAACTTATGTATGAAGATAAACATATCAGAAACTTCTATGATGAACATTCTTAGATTATATGTGACAGTGATATTACACCTAACATATTGTAATACTGGAAAATTAGCAGCAAAGAAATGGACCAGTTTCTCCTATTCATCACACAGACTCAAAAACACTTAAAGGAGTAAGTCTTTCCCGTGACTTCTTGTGTCTGAGATAAAATCATCGCGAACAGAAGTGATTTCAACACATGCGTCGTCACTGTGTATAGAATTCAGCGCACGAAATTCCTCCACCACAACACGCGTTTCCTGCATGTTATGTCTATGGAACACAAACTATTAATTCGCAGAGTTATCTCAATTAAACACGCGTTCTTGGGTCAGTGATGACATCACATTTACATACATCACCCACAACCTCTTACACTAATCAAGGATTTGGCTACGACGATCAGCTGCCGGACACAGCTCATCTGCTGAGACGCACCGAGGCTCAGAGAAATCTGAACTCCTGCAAAATCCAACGCTTGAGTATGAATATAATTACATAACAAGCTTATACGAATCAACATGCACCATTCGTAACAGCCGAGTGGTTCGCATTCGGCATATCTCTCTTTCAAGTCTGGGCCCGAGCAGTTTCGTGATTTTCTCGGTCCCTCCATGCAGATGCCGTGAGAATACCTAAATTAGGTTCCTTTCCAATTCATATTCATTCGACACTCTATGCTCTGAAATGCTGACAGCGTTTTAAAATAAACTACAAACATGTGAGGTGCAAGCTGGCAATGTCTTGACACTTTTTTTTTCTGCGATGGCAGCTCGTGCAGCTGTCCGACTCCCCGTACGCAGACTTAATGAACCACTTCCTATTGCACCAGCTATTCCAGCGTGGCGTGGACCAACTGGTTACAGCGTCCATAAAACTTGATTAATTTTACGGCTTTTCTCTGCGAAATGGTGTTTCTTGAAGCTCATCTGAAACCTCACATTAAAAAATTCAAAATGATACACGAAAGGTACCAAAAACGTATCATTTCGGTAACTGGAAGAACAGACTATTCCACAGAATAATGTTTAACCCGCGTAAATATAGGCTACTTCAGAACGACAAATAAAAAGGATATACAGAAACAGGGAAAACCAAATTATGTACTGAATCTAATCCGTCCGGCCAGAAAACACGAGAGGATTACGATAATAGTACAGTAATTATATAGACTGACGTATTATATAATTACATGAAATAATAAAAGGATCAACTAAAAGATAATAAGAATTAAGTTTACTTTGTGTTCATAAATTAAGTTACATTTGTTCTAAAGTTTTTAAGAAATGGCTCCAATTTCTGAAAACTACACTTTCAGAATGAATTTCACTATTCTACTCCTTTCCCACATGCACGATGCAGTGTCTTACTACGGTATATTCAATTCTGATGTTTGCGAGCAGGAAAGTGTCACAGACTACAAATGGACGAAGAACTTGTAACATCAACAAAGTTTACTTAATTCAGCGCTAGTTTTGTTTTCCACTTCCAATGAGAGAGCAGTACCATTTCAGAACAAGCTACGGAGAAATGTAACGAGATAAATAAAAGAGTTAAAGTATCCGAGACCTTCAAGTCAGACTGTAGCCTCTCTCTCAAAAAGATACTTTTCCCCCATTAACTGATACTACGGATATCCCTTTGCATTTATTGGCGGAATGAACCAGCAGCGCAGTCACACAAAACGAGCTCAAAACGGAAGGGCCACAGTATAGTGCTGCTGCACGGAAGAATTGCGAACTATCGATATTAATGCGATGTAAGAGCACACTATGGCTGACACTGCTGCACGGAAGAAATGCGAACTATCGATATTAATGCGATGTAATGGCACAACACTATGGCTGACAATGTTCTCACAGATGATTCTTGATGGTAAAAAGTTATAATTTATACGTGCTACTGCTGTTAGGACGCTTTTAGAAACACACATAAAGGATATACTGGTATAAATGGTATGAAGGAAGAAGAGCATCAAGGCTGAAAATCCGAAATAAATCATCCGCCGTTCAATATTAAAGGGTATTTCGCTTCAGTACAATATACGACTACACAACCTTCACTCCGATACCAGCCAAGTTCCGTATCACAGATGAAGTTCATAACTTTGGACCAAGGGTATGATAATGTACTTGTTAAGGGCTATCGTAGACCTCACTGTACGGTGATGGATGAGTACAGGACAATGGTTATATGTAACTTATTTTCGTCTATTTCCTTTCTCTGCTTCTAGGTATCGGTCTAGTTGCTATGCAACAATGTCAAGTTTTTATTGTGTAAAATATTCTATGTGCCACTGTAATAAGCAGAGAACCACTCAACGTGTGTTGATTCATTAAACATTACTTTACAGTAGAAAAAACAACTTTAAACGTCTGCTCAGCAATGTTTATTAATTATTTAATAAATAGAGTGGAGAGTATCGTGTTTTCACATAACTCTTCTGACGTGTTTCATGATAATTTCGAAATGTTGTTCATGTCATTTTAAACATTTCACTAAACTTTCTCTGTAAAAACGGGTATATTCATAAGACTGCCATAATAAGCAAAGAAGAAGAATGTTTCAGTACAGTACATACAAATCTCACTTCGCCCACCAGCAACACGACCGACTTTGACCATTATGATAATACCTGGTGAACATCGTGTTCGGTCTGTGTGAGATTAGACTCGGTGGATGATACAGCGTCGTTCAATTGTACATGACAGATATGTCTTAAACAGTAACTTCCCTGCCACATGACGGTACAAAACAGCCTACAAAACTTCACTGCAGCGATGAAGAGAAAATTACTGCCGGGCTTCCAGCAACTAACTTGTTTTGTAGTGATAATATTCCATTAACTGACGTTAATTCTGACACAGGATGTAACTAGGACTTTAATGCAGTACAAACAAAAACGTGGGCGTAGCCAACAAAAGCGGACCAAGAACAGGAGCAGGGGGTTTTGGAAGTTGGCTCAAAACAGTCGCAG